CACCGCTGACTCACTGCCGGAACTATTCCTCAGCTGTGCTGCCGTGGCATCACTGCTGACTCACTGCCGGAACTATTCCTCAGCTGTGCTGCCGTGGCAGCACCGCTTACTCACTGCCGGAACTATTCCTCAGCTGTGCTGCGGTGGCAGCACCGCTGACTCACTGGCAGAACTATTCCTCAGGTCTGCTGCCGTGGCAGCACCGCTGACTCACTGGCGGAACTACTCCTCAGCTGTGCTGCCGTGGGAGCACCGCTGACTCACTACCGGAGCTATTCCTCAGCTTTGCTGCCGTGGCAGCACCGCTGACTCACTGGCTGAACTACTCCTCAGCTGTGCTGCCGTGGCAGCACCAATGACTCACTGGCGGAACTATTCCTCAGCTGTGCTGCTGTGGCAGCACCGCTGACTCACTGGCGGAACTATTCCTCAGCTGTGCTGCCGTGGGGGCACCGCCGACTCACATTTGGAACTATTCCTCATCTGTGCTGCCGTGGCACCACTGCTGACTCACTGGCCGTACTAATCCTCAGCTGTGCTGCTGTGGCAGCACCGCTGACTCACTGGCGGAACTATTCCTCAGCTGTGCTGCCGTGGGGGCACCGCTGACTCACTACCGGAACTATTCCTCAGCTGTGCTGCCTTGGGAGCACCGCTGACTCACTGGCGGAACTATTCCTCAGCTGTGCTGCCGTGGGAGCACCGCTGACTCACTGGCGGAACTATTCAACAGCTGAGCTGCCGTGGCACGACCGCAGACTCACTGGCGGAACTATTCCTCAGCTTTGCTGCCGTGGCAGCACCGCTGACTCACAAGTGGAACTATTCCTCAGCTGTGATACTGTGGTAGCACCGCTGACTAACTGCCGGAACTATACCTCAACTTTGCTGCCGTGGCACCACCGCTGACTCACTGGCAGAACTATTCCTCAGCTGTGCTGCCATGGCACCACCGCTGACTCAGTGGCGGAACTATTCCTCAGCTTTGCTGCCGTGGCAGCACCGCTGACTCACTAGCGGAACTATTCCTCAGCTGTGATGCTGTGGTAGCACCGCTGACTAACTGCCGGAACTATACCTCAACTTTGCTGCCGTGGCAGCACTGCTGACTCACTGCCGAAACTATTCCTTAGCTTTGCTGTCGTGGCACCACCGCTGACTCACTGGCGGAACTATTCCTCAGCTGTGCTGCCGTGCGAGCACCGCTGACTCACTAGCGGAACTATTCCTCAGCTGTGCTGCCGTGGCACCACCACCTTACTCACTGCCGGAACTGTTCCTTAGCTGTGCTGCCGTGCGAGCACCGCTGACTCACTGACGGAACTGTTCCTCAGCTGTACTGCCGTGGCACCACCACCTTACTCACTGCCGGAACTGTTCCTCAGCTGTGCTGCCATGGCTCCACCACCTTACTCACTGCCAGAACTATTCCTCAGCTGTGCTGCCGTGCGAGCACCGCTGACTCACTGGCGGAACTATTCCTCAGCTGTGCTGCCGTGGCACCACCACCTTACTCACTGCCGGAGCTATTCCTAAACTTTGCTGCCGTGGCACCACCGCTGACTCACTGCCGGAAATATTCCTCAGCTGTGCTGCTGTGGCAGCACCGCTGACTCACTGCCAGAACCATTCCTCAGCCATGCTGCCATGGTAGCACCGCAGACTCACTGCCGGAACTATTCCTCAGCTGTGCTGCCGTGGCACCACCACCTTATTCACTGCCGGAACTATTCCTCAACTTTGCTGCCGTGGCACCACCGCTTACTCACTGCCAGAACTGTTCCTCAGCTGTACTACCGTGCGAGCACCGCTGACTCACTGACGGAACTGTTCCTCAGCTGTGCTGCCGTGGCACCAACACCTTACTCACTGCCGGAACTGTTCCTCAGCTGTGCTGCCGTGGCAGCACCGCTGACTCACTACCAGAACTATTCCTCAGCTGTGCTGCCGTGCGAGCACCGCTGACTCACCGGCGGAACTATTCCTCAGCTGTGCTGCCGTGGCACCACCACCTTACTCACTGCCGGAGCTATTCCTCAACTTTGTTGCCGTGGCACCACCGCTTACTCACTGCCGGAACTATTCTTCAACTTTGCTGCCGTGGCAGCACAGCGTACACACTGCCGGAACTATTCCTCAGCTGTGCTGCCGTGGCAGCACTGTTGAGTCACTGCCGGAACTATTCCTCAGCTGTGCTGCCGTGGCAGCACCGCTTACTTACTGCCCGAACTATTCCTCAGCTCTGCTACCATGGCAGCACCACCTTTACTCACTGCCGGAACTATTCCTCAACTTTGCTGCCATGGCACCACCACCTTACTCACTGCCAGAACTACTCCTCAGCTGTGCTGCCGCGGCAGCACCGCTGACTCACTGCCGGAACCATTCCTTAGCTGTGCTGCCGTGGCACCACCACTTCCTCACTGCCGGAACTATTCTTTACCTTTGCTGCCGTGGCACCACCACTTCCTCACTGCCGGAACTATTCTTCAAGTGGTGGTCACTTACTTAATTGGTGGTCACTTACTTAATGCTGCACTTTTACAGCTGTTTGGATTCACATTTCTAGCCTATAAACAAGCGCCTTCTCCCTGGCAAAAGGTTTAATGAGCATGATATATATGTATTAACATTTCAACAGATCCACTTCACAGCACATTACATGCAGCACAATGTTCCTTTACATGCACTGTGAAACTATAATGATCGTGCTCATTAATGCGGGGTGCAACTTCTATACATGAATATTCCTTTCTATACAGTGATTAGTTGAGAATAACGGACGGACGGACGGACGGACGGACGGACGGACGGACGGACGGACGGACGGACAGACAGACAGACAGACAGACAGACAGACAGACAGACAGACAGACAGACAGACAGACAGACAGATAGATAGATAGATAGA